CCAGCTTACGTCAACGACCTCTACTTCCCTCCGTGCACCTACCTCTTGCCTCCCTTCCTCCTCCTTCCCCCACATCCGTCCATCGTCCTTATAGATCATTCCCCCTCGTCTGACTACCAAGCGCTTCGGTAGGGCGTGCCTCCGCCTAGGAGTTCCTCCCCGATGACGACCCCGAAACTTGCATTATCAACCACTTGCACAGAGGCGGGGGTGGGGATCGCTTCCAAAGTGTGGCTCTCGGCTCAGCGCCACACGCATCCGCTCGACAGAGAGTTTCCAGCAGCTGCGCGCATGGCGGGCGGCTCCTCGTCAGAGTGCGGCTCTCGCCTGCGCGCCGCGAACATTCGTCTTCTGGCCATCGCTCGGACGTCCATTCCCTGTGCCTCTTTCGGTTTCGTGCGTTTTTTTTTTTTTTTTTTTTTTTTTTTTTTTTTTTTTTTTTTTTTTTTTTTTTTTTTTTTTTTTTTTTTTTTTTTTTTTTTTTTTTTTTAAAAAAAAAAAACATATATAATTATTAATATATATATATATAATATTTTTTTGATAAATGATCAAGGATGCTCCTCGATGGCCCTCGCCGAGAAAAAATGCACACGTCCGAGCGATGCCAGGTCTTGCGCGCACCTTCCCGACAGTGACGCGGACGGGGCGCGCCCGTGGGCGCACGGCAGCTCCGTTGTGCGCCTCCGCTCGCGGCTTCGCGCTCGGGGGCCAGGGAGCCCGTGCGGCAGCCCTGCACGGGCGGAGGGTGGCATCCTGGCCAGAGCAGGGCTCTCGCCGTGGACCCTCCTGCTCTTTACAGTCGGACTTGATTGGAGACGAAGAAGAAGAAACATAATAATAATAATAATAATAATCATAATAATAGTAATAATAATAGTAGTAATAATAATAACAATAATAATACATAATGATAATACTAATAATACACATAAACATAATCATAATACTACTACTACTACTAATAATAATAATAATAATAATGCGAATACTAATAATAATAGTAATAATAAACATAATAATAATAATCATAAGCATAAGAAAGAGAATAAGTCCTAGCTCCAGAGGAGGCACCGCGAGGGGGCAAGACGCGAAGATAGCCCGGCTCACTGGCACGTGAACCGCTCGAACAACTCTGCGTGCGAGCTCAATTCGGAGCGCGAGCCGGCAGTTTGATTGGAGAGGACACCCGAGAGGACAAAAGACCATTTCTGGGGGGCACACTGCCACAGGAATGCAGGAGGCATGGGTCGCGAGGCACAGGACACAAGGGTACCCTTGACTTGGCAGGGTCGACCTACTAGTCTGGGCCGACTGTATGTCAACCAGTTTGTTCGCGAAGTCGTGACCGGATCGGGGGCGGCCCTTTCTAAAAGCGGGGCTCCCGCTGGACACGTCCTCGGGCTTCGTGATCTGATCTCGTCGCCGTCCGTACAGCTAGAGGCAAAAGACGGCAGCTCCTTTCCACACTGGGGCCTTTGGCTGAATCGGCGGGGCCATGGGGCGTTCGCCTTTCAGGGAGGCATCTCCCGCAGTGAAAAGAGACCCATGTAGGGGCTAACGAGGGGAGGACTTTGGACGGGTGGGCGTATCGTAACATCGCTGATGGACCTCGGGTTCACTCAGTTCCTCCTCTTCCCTCCTTTTCCTCCTTCCTCTTTTTCCTTTGCTTCCTCCTTGTTCCTCCTTGCTTCCCTCCTCTCTCTTCCCTCCTCCCTCCCTCCCTATCTCCACCATGTCCTAAATCTGGAACTCGTGCGGACTCGTCCTCGAGAACTCGTGCTTCACTGGACGATTCCACTCCCCTATGAAGGTGAGGCCCCGAGTGGAGGAGCAGATACGTACTTGATTGCTCACCCTCTTCTTCGATTAGCCCCCTCCTCTTTCCTGAGCGGCCGAGTGACATCACTGCAGCGGGCGGCAAAGCCCAGCCACGCTTAGCGTTACTTCCGCCTGGCGCAGCAGATGGGTGGACAATGCACTGCGAATCGCGTGCAGGAAACGTGGCGGTGGCCGCGCTAGGCGAACACAAACGAGAAAAACCGCATGCACCGCGCAAGGGGAAGCCAGGCGACATCGGGGGCAAGCCCCTTTTTGCAGGGTACCAGCAATATGCAGTACCACTGCCTCCCTCATCCCCTCCACCTCCCAGGAAAGAGGAGGGCGGAGGAGGGAGGGGGAATGGAGGTGTTGGTGTACATTCTTGCGACCCACACTTCCCAGACCCCGACGTCGTGATTTTTTCGCAACGTCGACCCCCAGATCTCTGGACCCCTTCGACGGGACCGGCTTTTCGTCCTGAATCGTTTTTTTGACGGTCCCGAAGCCCGGAAAGGGCCCAACGAGGCCGAAAGTAACGAAAAACCTCCCGTCGCGAATTTTCACAACACGCGAAGGGGTCTGGGTTTTCCGAACCAGGCAGCGCCCGGATAGCCAGTCCCAAAGGTGCTCCATGGGCGAGATCTCCCTCGCCCACCTCCCTCGGATCCTGCTGCCCTGCCGCTCCTGGGCTGCCCTGGGGCTCGCTGCAGGGCAGGCGCCCGGCGCAGGCGCGGCCCCTCCCGTCCTCCTCCCTGCTGCCTCCTCCGAGACGAGGCCAGGACGAGGACAACATCGGGTGAGGATGCGTCGAGAATCTCTGCGAGCCGGCGGGTCTCGAGGATGTCTCGGGCGCCGCGCCTTCTCAGAGCGTTCTGGAGCGCCCTGGAACGGATTGAACTCCTCGTCCTAGTCCGGTCCGACTCCCTGCTGCCTCCTCCTTCCCCGAGATCTGGGCGTTGCGTTTTTTGTCATACTGGGCGTTTTCGCCCAGTCTCTGGCCCTAGGACCATCACAGATCGGTCCCGCTCGAAAAATACTGCAGAGAGATTGGGTCCAGGGCTCCAGTCGTGATTTTTGACGATGTTGCAATTTTTGCCGATCTCAGGGTTCCACCCCCCTGTTCCCTCCTCCTCCTCCTCCTCCTCGGAGGAGGGGGAGCAGGAGCAGGAGCAGCAGCAGGAGGAGGAGGAGGAGGTGGAGGAGGAGGAGGAGAAGGAGGGGAAGGAGGAGGAGGAGGAGAAGGACAAGGAGGAGGAGGAGGAGGAGGAGGAGGAGGAGGAGGAGGAGGAGCGCGAGGAGGACGAGGGGCAGTAGGGGGAGGAGCAGGAGTCGGATCAGGGGCAGGAGGAGAAGGACGAGCAGGAGGGACGCTACAGCTTAGTCGACCATGTTTGCCTAGCGTGAAGGGAGGAGGGACGAGGGTAAACGAGAAAGGGCGAGGAGGCAGCCTCCTAGAATGGTCCAAGCCCTTATTAAGAAGGCCTCTTGGTGGGCAGGGGAGGGCTTTTGCTCCACCCCCTTTCGGCGCGCCGCCGAGAGGGAGAGGCGGAGGAGGAGAGTGCATAGGAATACGGCAGGACCTAGGACAGCACATAATAACGCCCTTCAAGAACGTGAGACCCTCTGCCAGCCAACCTGAAGAACACTCGAGGGTACTCTCCTAATCAACTCGAAAAACATTAGGGTACCCTCCCCGAACTGACCTCGATCTTATACCTCGGTCCGGCTGGATTGGGAAGATGATGCAGACATTCTGCGTATTCGCCAGTCCTGGTCTTCAGGCACTCTCGCCTACTGCAGGTTCGAGTCGTGACGGCCTCGGCGTCAGTTCCTGACACCACGGGGACGCTCAGCCTTCAACGATCGGCGGCTCTTCGATCGCCAGATCGTTCCATATACGCCGATTCTGGACCACTCGCGGCGTTCAACCTTGAATGCCCGCGGCGGGGTCGCTGCCGCGTCGGGACGACACGAACCTATCGTAAAGCTCTCCTGGCCGCCAGTCCGCCCTCCCAGATCTCTCCTGCGAGTGTGCGCGCACGCGCGCGCGAGCGTAGGCCTACTCGCCTTACAGATTGAGGCCCAGGACGCAGCACTTGCACGAAGAGCCAGGGCAGAGGGCAACCTTAGAGGCCTCCTGGATGGAGTCGGGATGATCGCGCCGCATTGCCAAAGCATCGCCGATGCATCGGCGACATCGGCGTGGAGGAGCTCGGGCTCCACATCCAGCCGCATCGCCGATGGAGCGGCGATGCGGAGCGATCCTCCGACCCCACTTGCTCGGGCCCCATCTAGGAGGCCTGAAAGCATCAGCCGAGGAGCCCGGAGGACTCGCAGCGCGGCCGCGTGGCCGCCAACGTCGCGTGCTCCCACATGGCCAACGAGGTCGTAGGGACACTACGGTCAGGACCTTATGCTCATCGTGTCGCGACGGCGGCCTCAGCGACACGCTGTGCCGTGCGAGCTGATGGCGTCCCGCCCCGCTCCGCGGGGCTGGAGGCCGGGAGAAGCTCGGGACGCTGACGCTCGAGGGCTTGGACGGACGTGGTCAGCGTGTCGCTCCGAAGCGTGGTGGGTGAGAGCTGGAGGCGCGACACGCTAACCAAACATTCCCGACCGTATCCAATCGCCCGGCGAGAATCGGTGTGCAGGGCGCACCGTCACCACAAAGCAGCCCACGCGCATACGCGCGCGCGCGACATGCAGGCATGTGCGCTTTGTGCGCGTTTGCTCCGCGCAATCGCCTTTGCGTGCACGTGCAGCAACCCGTAAAGTGCGGGATACCAACCTCGGCAAGCGCGCTGCGAACGTCCTTTCCCTCCTCCTCCTCCTCCTCCTCCTCCTCCTCCTCCTCGATCCTTCCTGCTGGTCCGGCACCAGTGGATTCGACAAGAGAGGGGGGGGGGGGGACTGGCTCATGGGGGGAGGCAGTGATCCCAAATCGGCGATACATCGCCGATAGACCAACGATAGGCCCCCGATGGGGCATCTCTGCCTGCCAAGCTGGGGCACCCAGGACCCGCTCGGCGAGGAATAGGCGAATTGGTGGGGGCTCCTGCTCCCCCCCCCCCCAATGGGCAAGCCCCGCCCGTGGCTGCCCCCGGCGCCCCCTCCTGATTCACCGCGTTCTGGACCCCGGCGGCAATGCGGGCCTCGAAGTCACCACCCGCGCCTCGCAGGTGAGGCCGGCTGCTGAGGGTGGGGCGCTCACAGTCCGGCCGCGAAGGGCAGCGGAAGGGGACGGGGAGAAGATGTCTGGCAGAAGTGAAGAGGAAGAGGAAGAGGAAGAGGAGGAGCGAACGACCGCATGAGGGACGGACCGTGCGTGCGCGCCCTGGAAGACAGCGACGGAGGGGGCGTTGTTCTCTGTGTGCGGGGAGAGCGAGGAGGAGGATGGGGGGACTGCGAGAAGGACGAGGGTGTGAGCCCCTGGCGCCTGGCGCCCCCCGCCTGGGGCCGCGGGCAGATGACCCCCAGTCCCAGTCCGCGGCGCCACGCGGCGGCGCCTGCGGGCCAGGGCCTGGGAATTACGGGATGCCTTGGCCCGGCCGTTCTGCGCGCGCCGTAGGCAACCTTGAAGGCTTTCCACGAACTTCGATGCCCAAGCCCTGGCGCCCCCAGCCCCAGGCCAGCGCGCCGCCAGGCTGGGTCCACCGCAGAAGCACTCGAGGACTCCCGGTGCCGCCCGCAGGTTTCACCTGCTCCCGCGGGCGGGTGCGCACCAGAGCATCCCCAGACCCCCGACGTCACACGAATTTTTCACAACATCGACCCCCAGAGGCCTGGACCCTTTCCCGGGGACTGGATTTTCATTTTGAGTCGATTCTTGACGGTCCCGGAACCCAGGAAGGGCGGCCCCCGGAAACCGAAAACAACGAAAAACAGCCCGTCGTGATTTCTCCACAACGCGAGGGGGCCTGGGCCCCGCGGAGTAAGCGGCCACGCTCCCCGATGGCCGCCACTGAGCGGCCGCAATCTGCGCGCACCCGCGTGCCGAGTGCGGCCTCGGCCTTGCACGGGTCGCTGTGCCTCGCAGCCCCCTCTCGCGGCGCCTGCCCCGTGCTCGAAGCGCGCTCCAGGCGTCCCCGGGTGCCGCTGCGGCCTCGCTCCGCGCGTGCTGCTGCGCCTCGAGTCGCGCTCGAGGCGTCGGCTTCGCCTGCTTCCCCGCGTTTTATTTTTGAACCCCCATTCTTGACGAATCATTATTGTTGGTCCCCCTCACCAGTGCACATGGTGTTTTTTCACTTGAAGTGCCCCCTCGTGGCTTGCACCCTGTTTGTTCTCAGGGAAGATCATCCTGCTCAAACTGGGTTGTTAGCCCCCGAACCAGAAGAACAACAACGGCTCCCGCCTGTTACCTCCTCACCATTTCTTCCAAAATCGAGCTCTCGCGCGGGACTTCTTCACACTTTGTGCAGGAATGGCGCTCTTGCGTGGGACTTTCTCGCAATTTTTTCCAACGCCGCGTCCTCGACACTCAGGAATCATGCTCTCGCTTTGGCCTTTCTCATGATTTCTTTGGGAATCGCGCAATCGCTCGAGCCTTCCTCGCGATTTATGCAAGGCTCACGCTTTCGCAGCCCGCCTGTTCGACCTGGCAGCCTGGGCCCGCTTTCCCAACCCGCCCGCTGTGGTCTGCCTGCCCGATCTGCCCATCTGGTTCTGCCATGTGTTTTCTGCTCCTAGCCCCCCTCCTGCTAATTTATCTCGTGCCCCATCCTTCTCCCTCTCCCTTCCATCCGTCCTCTCTTCCTCTGTTTTAGGGGCTGTGCTAACTTCACGTGGCAGGTAAGGAAATATACCCGCAAAAGGAGTACGATCGATGACCAAGAGGGCCGGTATCGAGGGCTTGGGATATACGTGTTGAGATGGCACGCGAGCAGATACAAGCGAACAATCTTACACTGATTGTGGCTGTTGTTGTTGTTGTTGTTGTTGTTGTTGTTGTTGTTGTTGTTGTTGTTGTTGTTGTTGTTGTGACGGCTGTTGTTGTTGCTGCTGTTGTTGTTGTTGTTGTTGTTGTTGTTTTCGTTGCTGTTGTTGCTGCTATTGTTGTTGTCGCTATTGTTGAGCTCTTATTTCAAAACAATTATTGTTGATACCCCTCCCTCCGGTAACCATTGAACTTGTCAAATGAAGTGCCCCCCCTCGGGGCTCGCACCCTGGTTTTCTCGAAAACAAAAAAAACTTGATGCCACCAAGCTGTGTTGTTGGCCCCAGAACTACAACAAACAACGGCTCTCGCGCGGGTCTTCCCCACAAGTTATACAAGAATCGTGCTCTCGCGTGGGACTTCCTCGAGATGTATTCAAACGCCGCGCCCTTGACACTCAGGAATCACGTTCTCGCTTTGGCATTTCTCATGATTTATTTGGGAACCGCGCTGTCGCTCGAGCTCTCCTCGCGGGTCATGCAATGCTCACGCTTCAGCAACACGTCTTCTCCACCTGGCCGCTTGGGCTCGCCTTCCCCACCCGTCCGTTAGGGTCTACCTGCTCGCTGGGCCCGTCTGGTTCTGCCACGTGTTTTCTGCTCCTAACCCCCCTCCCGCCTATCCCGTGCTCCATATTTTCTTTCTCCTTCCATTCGTCCTTTTTTTGTTACAGGAACTGCACCAATTGCACGCGGCATGTAAGGAAGATCTACCCTCAACTGGGGGTACGATCGAAGACGAGAAGGGCGGGTGCCGAGGATTTGGGATATACGTGTTGGCTGGCACGCGAGCAGGTAAGAGCGATCAGTCTTGACATGATTATTGTTGTTGTTGCTGCCGCTGCTGCTTTTTCTCGATATTGTTCATATTGCTGTTTTTTTGTTGTGGTTGTTGTTGTTGCTGCTGAGTGCTAGTTAATGAACAAGTATCATGTTGGACTCCCCCCAAGCGCCCTGGCGCTCTCGCCTTGGCGTTGGCTACATTTTCATTGAAAATGAGGCTCGCGCTCGAGCTGTTTGGGGGGGCACCAAAACCGGCCCCCCATCAACAACAACGCTCCCGCTCGACTTCCTCCTTTTTTATCCAGAGCCGGTGCGCTTGCTCGTTGCCGAAAACCGCCGCCCCAACAAAACCAACGCTCCCGCTCGAGACTTCTTCCCGTTTTACCTTGGATTGGCGCGCTACTCTTTCTCTCATCGGCGCCGCCCCCAGCAAGAACAACGCTCCCGCTCGAGAATTCTTTTTTTTTTTTGATCAGAGCCGGTGCTTTTGCTCACCGCCGAAAACCGCCGCCCCAACAAAACCAGCGCTCCCGCCCGAGACTTCCTCCCGTTTTGCGCTGGACTGGCGCCCAACCCTCTTTTGAATTGGCGCCGCCCCCAGCAAGAACAACGCGCCAGCTCGAGGCTTCCTCCCTTTTTCCTGAAGACGGTGCTGTTCCTCGCCGCCGACAGCTCCCGTCCCGACAAAACCGCGGCTCCCGCTCGAGACTTCTTCCCTTCTTGCTCAAGGCGGTGTTCCTCCTCGCCGCCGACAACCGCCGTCCCAACAGAACCAGCGCTCCGGCTCGAGACTTCGCGTTGTTTCACGCTGGACTAGCGCCCTACTTTCTTCTGCATTGGCGCCGCTTCCAGCAACAACATCACCCCTGCTCGAGACTTCCTTCCTTTCTATTCGGGGCCAGGTCCTTGCCTCGCCGCCGACAGCCCCCATCCCCACCAAGCCAATCCTATCGCTCGATACTTCCTTGTGCTTTACCCTTGGCTGGGGTTCCACTGGCGGTCTCTCATCGGCGCAGCAGGGCGCGGGCATGTGTTTTGGAGGAGGGATATGCTGACATTCCTCGGAGGAGGTGTTTGCAAGACCTCATTGGGTGGGAGATCTGGGAATGGGTATAACGGACCCCCGCGATAGAACAATAATCCCCCATAGTGGGGATGGTTATCATGATGGTCGCATGCTGCGTGCGGAAGCATCGCGCATGAGGGTGTAATGTTGTTGCTGCTGTTGTCGTCGTCGTCGTCGTCGTCGTCGTCGTCGTCGTCGTCGTCGTCGTCGTCGTGGTTGTTGCTGTTGCTGCTGTTGCTGCTGTTGCTGTTGCTGTTGCTGTTGCTGTTGCTGCTGTTGCTGCTGTTGCTGTTGCTGTTGCTGTTGCTGTTGCTGCTGTTGCTGCTGTTGTTGCTGTTGTTGCTGTTGTTGTTGTTGTTGCTGTTGTTGTTGTTGTTGTTGCTGTTGTTGTTGTTGTTGTTGTTGTTGTTATTGTTGTTGTTGTTGTTGTTTTTGTTGTTGCTTTCTGGTGTCCTTTTCTGCTGTTCGGACCAGCACTCGTGCGGGGCACGGGAGAAAATGTAGTTGCACTTGCAAGCCGTTTCCTTCCTCACCCGACGTGTGAAGGGAAGCACGCCGCACTGGAGGACAGCAGGGAGAAGAGAGAGAGAGAGAGAGAGAGGGAGAGGGGGGAAGATGATGAAGAGGAAGAGGAGCAACACGGAAGAGGAGGAAGAGACCACCAAAAGGGGGCAGACCGTCCGTCCCTGATTTTTTTCCTGCTGGAGGTCGCACGGGGCGGCGCCCTCGGCTCAGCTCTCCGCTCGCGCCGCGCGGGCCGCCGGCGCGGCCTCGCTCCGCCCCGGCCCGCGCCGCGCGCGCTCCGCTGGCAGCACGGGCGACGCACTGCTGGGCCGCCGCCGCTGTGCGTCGGCCGCGGCTCCGCGGTGCCGGTGGCGTGCCGGGCCGGCTGGTCCCTGCTCGAATCGGGCTCACGAGAGGCCTGCCACATCGGGTCCGAGTGCAGTCAACCCGTATCACAAGGACGCACGATAAGGATACAAGGCCCTTGGGCGCCCATTTCGAAGCTTTTCGAGCGGGGCGCGGCCAACGAAAGCTGCCAAGGATGGACCGAGGAGGCAAGGATGCAAGGGTACCCATGGGGAAGGTTGCCTATCCTTCACATGCGGGTTGACTGTAGATGGGGTCGGATGATCGCGCTCCATCGGCGACGTTGGCGATGAGTCGGCGAGGAGATGCCGGGCTCCACATCGAGACACATCCCCGATGCATCGACGACGCGGCTCCATCCTCCGACCCCGCCCACTCCGACCCCATCCATTCCGCCCCCATCTAGGAGGCCTAGAGAATCACAAGAGGCCTGCCTCCTTTCAGTGCTGCGCCCCCCGCTGCCACAGCACTGATCGGGGGCCTCTGCGCCTCCGGTGCCAGCGGCAACACCGTGTGCCGTGCGGCCTCCTTCTCCTTCTACTCCTTCTACCTGCTGCTACCTCCTTCTACCTGCGGCTCCTTCTCCTTCTTCTCCTTCTCCTCCTTCTCCTCCTCCTTCTTCTCCCCCTCCCTCCTCTCCTTCTTCTCCTTCTTCTCCTTCTCCTCCTTCTCCTCCTCCCTCCTCCTCCCTCCTCTTCTCAAGCCTTCCGCCCTCCTTCCCTTCTCTCCTCCCCCCTTCCTTCCTCCCTGTCCTCCTCTGCTGCTGCTGCCCCTTCCCCGCTTCCTCCTTCGCTCCTTCATTCATTTGGCACTGCTGTGTATGTACATACATATGTGTGCGTATGTATGATCTCGCTCCTATCGCTTTGATCCCGATTGCCCCCCTCGGGACGGAGGCCCTTCCACTCTACCCGCCGACAGCAGTACAACATCGACGTTTGTCCTTCTGACATGGACCTTCTTGCCGTCGACGCTGTGAAATGCGCGGCTGGCCGGGCTGTGATGCGGCGCGCGCCGGGCGCGAAGGAGCCGAGTGCCGTCCCGTCACGGCGCCGCGCAGGCCTTCTCCTGAAAGCTGCGCTCCCGCCGCTGGGTGGGCGCCGGGGCGCGCGGGGGACGCGTCGGAGGCGAGGAGGAGGAGGAGGAGGAGGAGGAGGAGGAGGAGGAGGAGGAGGAGGAGGAGGGAGGAGGAGGAGGAGGAGGAGGATAGGATGATGAGGAGGAGAGGAAGGAGGAGAGGGCGGAGGTGAGGAGGAGGCGGAGGAGGAGGAGGAGGAGGAGGAGCAGGGCGCGGGGGCCGCGTCGGAGGCGAGGCCGCGCGCGAGACCGAAGTGTGGCTCTCGCCTCAACACCGCGCGGCTGTCCCCTGGCAGCCGCGCGTCCAGCTGGGCGCGCGGCGCGCGTGTGTTCCGCTCGCCGGGTCGTCGGATCCTACTGGGCGCTGGGCCGCGCACGCGAGAGAGCGGAGTGCTCCAGGACACGCTGTTGAACTCTCATTCTTGAAAAAATTACTGAGCTTCAAGCTCCCCTCCGCCCCCTCCTCCTCCTCCTCCTCGTCCTCCCTCTCCTCCTCCTTCTGTTCTCCTCCTCCTCCTCCTCCTCCTCCTCCTCCTCCTCCTCCTCCTCCTCCTCCCCCTCCGGTGGCCATTTGTTTTTTTGTATTGAAGTGCTTCCCCCAGGGCTCGCACCCTGTTTGTTATCAGGGAAAGTCACTCGGCTCAAACTGTGTTGTTGGCCCCCAGCCCGGTTTACAACAGCGGATCTCGCCTGATACTTCTTCTTAATATATTCCCAGATCGCGCTCTCGCGCGGGACTTCCTCACAATTTGTATACGAATCGCGCTCTCGCGTGGGACTTCCTCGCAATTCATTTAGAGGATGCGCCCTCGGCGCAAAGGAAGCACGCTCTCGCTTTGCCCTTTCTCACGATTTACTTGGGAATCGCGCTATCGCTCGAGACTTCCTCGCGATTCAAGCAGGACCCACGCTTCAGCAACCCGCCTGCTCGACCTGGTCGCCTGGGCCCGCCTTCCTGACCTGCCCGCCATGGGTCTGACCACCCGATCTGCCCGTCTGGTTCTACCACTTGTTTTTTGCTCCTTGCCCCCCTCCTGTTAATTTCTCTCGTGCTCCATTCTTCTCCCTCTCCCTTCCACCCGTCTTCTCTTCCCTTGTTTTAGGGGCTGCACTAAATGCACGTGGCTGGGGTACGATCGAAGACGACGAGGGCGGGTACCGAGGGCTTGGGATATACGTATTGATTGGCACGCGAGCAGATAGGAGTGAACAGTCTTAAACTGATCATTGTTGTTATCGTTGTTATTGCTGCTGTTTTCGGACTCTGAGAACGATGAAAACTGCCGGCTCCCTAACTGATCGGAAGGGGACTCCACTAAGCAGAAACTGTTGTGCATCCGCCCTCGGCTGCAGAGCCAGCCGAAATTTGTGTCACGAAACTCGGCCCCTTGATTAGCGGGAGCTGTAAGCACGCATGCCTCGATTTGCGCGCGGAGCATCCATAAATAAAAAAAACAAAAAGAAAAATGAAAAAAAAAAAAAGAAAAGAAAAAATACAACCAAAAAAAACAGAAAAATAGAAAAAGAAAAAAAAAAAAAAAATAAGATACAAAAAAAAGGAAAAAAAAAAAATAACCAAAGGGAAAAAATAAAAAAAAAAAAGATAAAAGAAAAAAAAAAAAAAAAAAAAAAGGATAAAAAAGAAAAAAAAAAAAAAAAAAGAAAAAGAAAAAAAAAAAAAAGAATAACGAAAAAAATAAAAGAAGACAAAAAAGGAAAAACAACAAAGTCCGCTGTGCTGGATACGCCATGGGGGGGTCACCGTGCCCGCCTCCTCCCCTCCCTCCTCCTCCTCCGCCGCCGCTCCGCCTCCTCCTCCTTCCGCCTCCCCCCCCCCTCCTCCTCTTCCTTTCTCCTCCTCCTCTCCTCCTCCTCCTCCTCCTCCTCCTCCTCTTCCTCCTCCTCCTCCTCCTCCTCCTCCTCCTCCTCCGCCTCCTCCTCCTCCTCCTCCGCATGCGTATCCAGCTCTCGCCGAGGCCAGCCGCGCCATGCGTATCCAGCTTCCTGGTCGACCTCGACTCGGGGCCCAGGTTCCCCGCGACGCTGCGCTCCCGCCGGGCGCCGCGCGGCTGCGCACCGCTCTCTTCGCCAGGCTGGCGGGAGCAGGCTCGAGCGCCAGCGCGCGGCGTGCTGCTTCCACCTTGGAGCCCAGGAGCCTCCCAGGAGTCTGCACTCGCGGGTCGGGCTCGGCGCCTGCTCTCCGCTTCGGCAGGCAGATCGTCCGAAGCGGGGCCGCGCGCAGACAAGCGCCTTCCATTCGCTGGGTGGGGGTCAGAGCCCAGTCCAAACTCCACAAACGCTATGAGAGGGAAAGTGGGGCGGACGGGTCCCACGTCCCGCTGGCTCTTCCGAGCTGCCTACATCCAAATCCTGTTCCTACTCCTGTTCACTTCCTGCTCCCCCTCCTCACCAATCTTTTTTACAGCCTCTCTCTCTCTCTCTTTCGCTCTCTTCTCTCTCCCTCTCTCTTTCTCTCTTCCGTGTTGTGTGTGTGTGTGTTATTACACCTTTCTCTCTCTCTCTCTCTTTCTCTCTTTTCAGTGTTCTTCATCTTCCCACTCTCTCTCTCTCTCTTTCTCTCCCTCCCTTCCTCCCTCCCTTCCTCTCTCTCTCTCTCTCTCGCGCGCTCTTATGTATACACGTATATCTATGTATACGTATTTATCTCTCTCTCTTTCTCTCTTTGACTCTCTCTCTCTCTCTCCTTCCCTCTCTCTCTCTCTCTCCCTGCCTCCCTCCCTGTCTCCCTCTCTCTCTCTCTTTCTGTCCCTCTCTCCCTCCTCCGTCCCTAATCCTGCGCTTATGTGTCACCCACCTCACCTACCTCCCCGGCGCCTCCTTCTGCCTCCACCCTGCGCCCTGCGTCCTCTGCCGGGCATGCCCTGACAAAAAGTGGGGATCCGTGGATCTCGCGCGTGGGCGCCAGATCCACGATCGGGGCAGATACCGCCCGAAACATCTTGCCAATGCAGTCTGCTTTGACGACGGAGCGCGCGGGTTCTGTGCGCAAGCGGGACCCTCGCCCCTCCCCCCCCGGCGGGGTGCGGCCGCCTGGCTTGCCGTCCGGCCCCCGCGACGGCGGCGGCGACGCCCTCGCCTGGAGAGGCTCCGCCCAGGGCGGGAGGGCGAGGAAGAGGAGGGAGAGGACGAGGAGGGGGGGGAGAGGACGAGGAGGGGGGGAAGAGAGAGAGAGAGAGAGAGAGAGAGGAGGAGAGAGAGGACGAGGAGGGGAGAGAGAGGACGAGGAGGGAGGGGGAGGACGAGGAGGGGAGGGAGAGGACGAGGAGAGAGAGGACGAGGAGGGAGAGGACGAGGAGGGAGAGGACGAGGAGGGGGGGGGGAGAGAGACTGGCTGGCGGGGTGCGGGGAGGCATGGCGACGTGCAAAGCCTGTCCCCGCTGCTGCAGGGGTGTGCTCCCTCCTCCCTTCCTCCCCCGCCTCCGCCCCTCCCTGCGCCTCCCCCCTCCTCCTCCCTTTCCCCCGGCTCTGCCCCCTCCCGCCGCCTCTCTGCAGACGCCCCCGGCCCGTGCCCTGCGGTCGAGGTGGATTGGTAGGCCGACCCAGTCAGATCCCGGGTTCCCTCCCTCCAAGGATTCATCTCCATAGGGTCGACCTGAGGATTCCATTGTTGAGGTTGATTGGCAGGTCCCTGCAAGGATTCCATTGTTGAGGTTGATTGGTGTAGGTCCCTCCAAGGATTCCATTGTTGAGGTTGATTGGCAGGTCCCTGCAAGGATTCATCTTCACAAGGGGGAGTGCCCCGTGAGAAGGCAATGGTGTCGAAATCCTGCACCGTGCCGGAACACCGTTCCTGGGACTTCAGCGCCGGGAGGAGAGGAGGAGGAAGCGCACCCAGAACCCCTCGCGTCGTGAACAAATCGCGACGGACGTTGTTTTTGAACACTCTTTTCGGCCTCTGGGGGGCCCTCGCCGGCCCCCGGGACCGTCAAACACAACTCGGGATGAAAAGCCGATCCCGGGGAATGGGCGGAGACCTCTGGGAGTCGACGTTGTGAAACAAGCGCGACGTTGGGAGTCTGGGGAGAAATAGCTGGAGACTTAGGCGAAATAGCAAGCACAGCAAGGACCCCAGCATGCAACGGTGAGAAGATAGCCACCGAGCCTGTGAAACATGTGGTATTGTGCCGAGGTCCGCAAGGAGGGTGATGGAGGTTCCCTCTCCTCTTCCTCCTCCGTCTCCTCCGTCTCCGCCTCCTCCTCCTCCTTCTCGCTCACCTGGGTGTGGAGGGTCATCACAACGGCAAGACGAGAACCAGACTGGGTACGAACAACTCTGGTATCTATCAGAGGGCCAGAGGGCCCCGGGATGCGTAGAGCGCCGCGGCCATTCCAGAGCGCTCTCGGAGTGCTCTGGAACCAATACGTTCGAATCCTCAGGGCTGCCGGGGGGGCTCTGGCTAAGAGGAGCGAAGCGCCAATAAGAGATGCGATTCTCTCTATACACGTTTGCCAGAGAGGACCCCGAAAAGTGGTCTCTGAACTCTTGATGTGCACTTGTTGTGGTGCAGTCTGTGGGATGCAGCCTGTGCGGTGCGACCTGTGCGGTACGATGTGTCGGGCGACACCCGTCGTCCGCCCGCGAGGCCCAGCGACGAAGATGTCGACGAGGACGACGATGGGGGGCCACCTCTTCATCACCACACCGAGGTCGCCAAGCGCCACTCAGTCCAGAACCTTCGTCGATGCGCGACTTCGGCAAGGATGACGATGGTGACCGACACACCAGTGTCGCCAAGCGTTACTCGCTCCAGCACCTTTGCCATTGTGTGACTTCGGTAAGGCCGGCGACGGGGACCGACACACACGTCACACACATACACACCACACACAACACACATCACACATTACACACCACACACAGGACACACAACACACAACACACAACACACACCACACACAACACACAGCACACACAGCACACACTGCACACACACAGCACGCACAACACACAACGCACAACACACAACGCACACAACGCACAACACGCACACAACACACACACACACCACACACTATACAACACATACAGCGCGCACACACACACACCGCAAACCATACCACACAACAGACACACACACAACACGCACAACGCACAACGCACAACACGCACAACACACCACACACACCACAGACACCACACACATACACACGTCACAACACACACAACGCACACCAATAGAGACACCACACACGCACACACGCACACAGCACACAGCAAACACCACACACAACACACACACACACACTCCACACCCAGCACACACCACGCAGCACACACCACACGCAACGCACACATCACACAACGCGCACAGCACACAACACACAGCACACACAACACACACACAACCCACACAACACATACAGCACACAGCACACACAGCACACACAACACACACACACACACCACACACCACACATAAATACAGCACGCACACAGTACACAGCGCAGATCACACACGCCACACAACACACAACACACACTACACAACACACAACTACACACGAGCACACACACACACACCCGTCGCCAAGAGTCGCAAAACGCCACTCGCTCCAGCACCTTCGCAATTGTGTGACCTCTTGACAAAGACGACGACGGAGACCACGCCTTCACCGACTTACCACGGTCGCCAAGCGCCGCTTGCTCCAAAACTTTTGCCATTGTGACTTCGACAACGACGACGAGGACCACCTCTTCACCGACTCACCACGGTCAGCGCCACTCGCTCCAACATCTTCGCCACTGCAGCAAGTGTGCTATGGCAAGAGCGGCCATGGGATGGAGTGAGGGGACAGCCTTCTAAGACTGCAAGGGGTTTTTCTCAGAGAAGGTCGGCCCTGTACAACTTATGTGATTGATCCACACCTTCTAAAGGCAGAGGGGCTTCTCAAAAAGCCGCCTCCCGACACCGCCCCCTTTGGCAACCGATGAGGGCATCCGCCGAGGTCCATTCCGTGTCGAAGACGGGCGGGGCTTCCTAACCTATACGGTCTGGCCTAGGACGACTTCGACCCAAGCCAGGAGGGCCTGTGGCAAGCAGGGCGGCGCAAGCTCTGTGGAATGCCTGGTGGGGAGGGCCTCCCCCTCCTCTTCCTCCTCGTCCTCTTCCCCGCCCCCTCCTTCCCTCCCCCCGCTCCCCCCTCCTGCTTCTCCTGCCTCCGCCGCGGTCCCTGCGGCTGATCCTTGCCCCAAGGCCGCTGCGTGGAGGGGCCAACCCTGGGGGGACGGAGCCGCTGCCTCGCGCCGGGTGCAGGCGGCCGCCCGGGGAGCACCCGCGTCAACAACGCCTGGTGACGTGAGAGCCCCCTGTCCTTCTCCTCCTCCTTTGCGGTGCCTCCTTCGCGAGAGCCCGTCCTCGCATGCACGAGGCCCCCTGCTCCACGAGCCCACGAATCCCCACCCTCCACGCATGCCTCCCTGGGCGCGATCCGCGTTTCCTCGCCTTGCCCAAATCCTCCTCCGCGAACACCTCCTCGATTGTCCTCCTCCTCCTCCTCCTCCTCCTCCTCCTCATCATCATCACCACCATCACCATCACCACCACCACCACCACCACCACCACCACCACCACCACCACCACCACCACCACCACCACCACCACCACCACCACCACCACCACCACACCCACCATCACATCACCATCACCATCATCACCATCACCATCACCATCACCATCATCATCATCATCATCATCATCATCATCATCACATCATCAGCAGCATCAGCATCATCATCATCATCATCATCATCATCATCATCATCATCATCATCATCATCATCATCATCATCATCATCATCATCATCATCATCATCATCATCATCATCATCATCATCATCATCATCATCATCATCATCATCATCATCATCATCATCATCATCATCATCATCATCATCATCATCATCTTCATCTTCATCATCTTCATCATCTT